GGGCCAGGGGGGATTTCGGGACCGCCAGCCCCTGGCCCCGCCCCGGGAGCCCCGCCCCGCCTGTCCGCCCCGCTCGGGCGGGAAACCTCCAGAGGACCTCGCGCGGCTCCTTCTAGAAGCGGCCGCGGGCGCTTTTAGGCGTCCGCGCCGTTCGCCGGTAAAGCGGGGCGCAGGCGCGCGGCGGGCAGCCCTCCCCGCGCCTGACGCCACGCCTGGCGCCGGCCGGAAGGGCCCGGGCGCGTCCTGCTGGTGGCGGTGGGGGAGCGGCGGTGCCTTCTGGAAGGTTCCCGGCCGGGCGGCCGTTACCGCGGGTCCCATCCGCGTCCATCGGCGGCGGGCGACGATGCCGGAGAACACGGGGGCCAAAGCCCACGGCGGAGCGGGGAACCGGGCCAAGGGCACCTACCAGGACCGGGATAAACCCTCCCAGATCCGCTTCAGCAACATCTCCGCCGGCAAAGGGGGGGTGAGGCGCGGCGGGCGGGCGGCGGCTACCCGCCTCCTTTGTGCTGAGGGGAGGCGGCCACCGGCCTCCCGCCTCGCCGCGGCGGGCCGGGCCGGGCCCACCGGCAGCCCTGGAGGAGCGGCGCCTCTTCCCGCCCCGAGCCGGGCGGCTGGAGGGGAAGAGGGCGGCGAGGGTTCGCTGCTTCCCCCTCTGTGAGGCGGCCCCGCGCCCCGGGGGAGATTCGGGCTTTCCTGTGCACCGATTCGGGGGGGAAGGGGCGGGCGACGCGTTTCGGGTTGACAGCTGAGCGGTGTATCGCCCTGGTCTGGCATCTCGGCTGGGGTGCAGCCGTTCCCGTTGTCTCCCCCTGCGATGGGAGCTCGGCGTTGTATTGGCAGGAGGTGGTCTTGGGATTTTTAATGGCAGGAAACTGCCAGGGCTGGGGCCAGTGCGTGCTGGGGGATGCTATATTTGGCATTTGACACAAGCCTCGGTCCGATTACTTGGCGTATAGTATGTCCACGTTATTTCTCGATTTTAAAATGGCTGTAATCGAGTGATGGGGTGTTAATTGTTTGGGAAAAAAAAAAAAAAAGAGCTGTGGAAATCTGTCCTGAGATTGCAACGTTTTATATCGTTCTGCTATTAAGGCTGATTTAGTGCTGGCACAATAACCGGGAACTGCTTAATACTAGGAGACGTTTTCTTTTCAGAAGAAACGTTTAGAATGGTGGAGTGAGTGCTTATAGTTCTTAGATCAACCTGCAAATGTTTGGTTTTTTTTGTCTTCCTAGCTGTTGCCGATGCAATTAGAACAAGCCTTGGACCAAAGGGAATGGATAAAATGGTAATCTTTACACTTAAATTTTGAAAACATTAAGCTTACTGGAGATACTGTGAAGCCCACATGCTTTGTATAGGATGTCATCTTTTGCCTTGAACTTCTTTTCCAAGTTTCATTTATTTAAGGGAAAGTATGAACTAAATGCACATCTTGGTTTGAGAAATAATGTCAGGAGAAATATTTTATATAGAGCATCAAATTAAAGATTTGTAGTTACTGACCAGAACTACGTTTCTCCTCTTCCTTCTCAGATTCAGGATGCTAAAGGAGATGTGACAATCACTAATGATGGTGCTACTATTCTGAAACAAATGCAGGTTCTGCACCCTGCAGCCAAAATGGTAAGTGGTTTTTTTCCATTGCTCAGACAATGGTATGTGTTAGAGCTTAATTTCTGGGACCAAAAAACATAGTAACATTTCACGTGGCTTTGAGGAGCCTTACCCACTAGTGATAGAGCAAGAAATTTTGTGCAGCGTGCTCCAGGAACATTTACTTTGATTGTAAGATGTGCTGGAGAGTTCCAGGTCCTTAGTTCTTATCCGGTATTCCTTATGCATAATCCCTCGGGACGTGTGTTAAGACATAAAGGAATCTAGCCCAAACCTTCTGTCATTTAAAAAAGAAAAGTCAGTGATGTCCCAAATCACTAGGACCGAAGAGAATGAAAGAAGAGAATGAGTTACGTTATGGTCAGGTGGTCTGAGGATGCAGTAGTCTGGTCTTTTGAGAAGTTAAATGTAGACTTCTTAGTTTGATTGTGGTTGGAGATGGAAACGAGCTTCCTGTGACCCACCTACAGGAGAGGAAAAGGTAGACCCATTAGATAGGTGTGACCAGTTTTAAGCTTGGGAGAAAAGCTTCTCTGCTTCTGTAAGGAATCTGTTTTACAGGAGTTGTTCTTCACCGAATAGATGTACAAGTATGGAAAGCAAAGGGCAAAAGGTACCAACTTCAAATTAGAAAAGGCATGATTAGTCCTGATACTAAGGTTGATTTCAGTAGTGCTGCATTCTTGAATATATATATTTTTTTTCAATTGTCAGTGTTTGCAATTAAGTAGCATTAAATGTAAACTTTTGCCATAATTTGTCATTTAGTTGGTCGAGCTGTCAAAAGCACAAGATATTGAAGCTGGTGATGGCACTACATCTGTTGTTGTCATTGCTGGAGCTCTTTTGGATGCCTGTTCCAGACTTCTTCAGAAAGGTAAATACATACATTTAATATAAAAGCATGACTGGAGGTAGGTAAGTCCTCTATCTGCTTCCACATGTATAATGAAGCTTAAAGTAGCCATTTCCAGTTTAAACATGAAAGATGACTGGAGTCTTCACATTCAGGTTTCACTTGTGTCCCACTTTCAGTTAAAAATCTGTTCAGCTTTTTATTTTTAGTTGAATGCGTTACTGTTGAAACAGGAAAATAGTGCCTAGGGGATGTGATTAATGTTGCCTTGTAAAAACTCACCTCAATTATACTTGTACTTGTTGCATGGACAGAGAAAGCGTAAGAAAGTATAAATGAAATTTGGGACCAGTGATTCTACCTTTTTTTTTTATATACTCAGCAAATTTATCACCTCCCATCACTTACAATAGAGGGACCTTGAGAAAGTCTGGTCAGGAAAAGACATGAATTACAGAATGCAATAGTTTGTGTAGGTTCTGTTCAGTTAGCTCAGGACGTTCTCTTGTAGTCTGCTTCCGTACAGTTCAGCAGCTTTTTTAGCTGTCCAACAAGATAACAATTAGGCTTCTGTGTGCACTGGAGATAGAGCAAGAATGACTGAACCTGCAGAGTTCTTTTCTGTCTCAAATCTGGACTTCATAGTGATTTACTTAAACTTGCCTCCTCTCAATACACACCATTTTGCTTGTTGTCCTCTTTCTGGCCCCTACCAACAGTTAGCTTCTGTTTACCTCCTCTCCTGGTACTGGTGGTACTGCTGGACCAGCAGCCTGGCATCCTCTACCATAAGAGGCAGTTAGAAGCTGCCTGTTTTGAAAAGATACAGGGTATATCGCACGCTCCAGAGAAATCGAGGAACTGCATACACAGCTGTGGGAAAACAGTCTTTGAAAATCTGAAATAAAATTACTATTGGGCTCCTCACAGGTATTAACCTCAACAGCGGCAGCTTTAAGAATGCCAAGGGCAAACAAAACCTTTGTCTTCTCAAAAGAAGGTATGTTTCTGGGATGTCAGACATTGCAGGGAAATGTGCTGTACTTGTCTGTGAGGACAAATTATTGGGAACTTTATAGCTTTTTCCTCAGCTTTAACAATAGAAAGTAATAAGGGAGGTCATCTACTCATGAAGAACACATTTTGCTAAAATGTCTTCAATTTATTCTGACATGAGAGTCTCGCTAATTTTAAAATGGAAAGAGAGGATGAGGAGAAAACAAAAAAAACCCATTAGTTTGAAAGCATGACTGTCTAACAACCTTTTTATACTATCCACAGGAATCCACCCTACCATAATTTCAGAGTCATTCCAGAAAGCTTTGGATAAAGGTATTGAAGTATTGACCAACATGGCGCAGCCAGTGGAACTGAGTGACAGAGAAACCTTGCTGAATAGTGCAACTACTTCGCTGAATTCAAAGGTATGACTGATACTTCAACTTTGTACCTCCAGACTAGCTGAGCCTTTCAGCTTTTCCCAGCTCATCCTACTGTTCACTTACCCTGCATATCACAAATCTAATTGGTTTTCCAACATTGGTTACCTTCTCTTAGACAGACTTTTCAGAAAGCCATGGTTGATTAAGAGTAAATTGAAGCACTCAAACTGAATTTCAGTTTGAAATACTTGGTGATCTCGGGTGTTAGTTGTAAGTGTAAAATAAACAAGCTTCAACTGAAAACAGCAGCAGAAGAGTGAGGTGGGATACTGAGAGCTTTTGCCAAGTTTTTGTGTAGGCAGTTCTTGTTCGTGTGGCAGGAACTCCTAAAACAGCATTGAAATCTGGAGAAGTGTGCTAGTTTCCCTTCCAGCAGAATAATCTGTGAAGCTCTCAAAATTCTTACTTTAAGAGTCTAGGAAAGAAATTCAGGTTTCTTCCTTAAGTCCCTAAGCATAGGTTTTCCCACCAACGTAGCTGCTGTTTCCTTTAAATGGAGTAGCCCTTAAGAAGATGCCATATTAAGGCAACTGGCTGATGGACAGGAAGGGAAAACGAGCTTTGTTTCAAAATTCAGGAGTCAAACACTGACATACAATGATGTTATTATTTTGAAATTACTGTTTATCAGTGTTAAATCTCTCACCATTTTTTTTTCTTTACTACTAAATCTTTTAGGTTGTGTGTCAGTATTCTAGTTTACTTTCTCCAATGAGTGTAGACGCAGTGATGAAGGTGATTGACCCAACTACAGCTAGTAGCGTGGACCTCAGAGATATTAAAATTGTTAAGAAGTTGGGGTAAGAAACAATTTGTAACTAGACAAATTTTGTCTATGTGAAATCAGCTTCCCAAAGTGCTAGAGTCATGGATTGTTTTTGTTTCCAGAGGCACAATTGATGATTGTGAACTGGTTGAAGGCCTAGTGCTGACTCAGAAGGTGGCAAATACTGGTGTAACTAGAGTGGAAAAAGCCAAAATTGGCCTCATTCAGTTCTGCTTGTCTGCTCCAAAGACAGATGTAAGTTAAACTATGACTAGAGCACAACCTTTTGCTCTAGTACTTGGGAGATGCAAATGTAATGATAACACATTTTTTTAAGATGTTGTGATGTCAGCTGTATTCCACAGCTATAATGAAGGTCTGCTGGGTAATGCATGGATATTCATAACTCTTAGAGGACTTATAGTTGACATAAGAAAGAAAATAGTTCAAAAGTTCAGTACTTCTCATCATGTAAACAATCTCTAATAAGACATATTTTACTATCATGCTTGTTTGCTTTGAATCGCAGGCTCCTAAGTTAAAGAATGTGGAACATCTTGACACTTGCTTTTTTTAAGTCAGTAGTTGTTCATAATAGTTGCTTTTTTTTTTTAATAGATGGACAACCAAATAGTTGTTTCTGATTATGCTCAAATGGACAGAGTACTGCGTGAAGAGAGAGCCTATATTCTAAATTTAGTTAAGCAAATTAAGAAGGCTGGATGCAATGTGCTGCTGATTCAGAAGTCTATTCTGCGGTATGTTAATTCTGATTTACTGGCTTACTGTGTGTGTTTGGGGGAACAATTGGAATTTTTTGGAATACCTGGAAAATTGAAGCCAAATACTAACAGTCACACTTGGCAGAGTGTCAGACTGGCTGTAGTAGCAACCATACCTTTAGAAAGTACTAGTATTGTCTGTATTTTGAGTTTAATGACATCCCTACTTTGTTGTCTGAAGAATTTCAGCACTGCTAGTAAGAAGCATGCAACTGGCTAGTATGGCCTGGTTACTAAAACAGCACTGTGGACTAACTACTTCCCTCTTGGTTTTAGGGACGCTCTTAGTGACCTAGCCCTCCATTTTCTGAACAAAATGAAGATCATGGTGGTTAAAGACATTGAAAGAGATGACATTGAGTTTATATGTAAGGTAAAGTGAGTTCTATAAATGGCTGTTAAAGTAGCAGCGGTGTTTAAAGTCTACCCCAAAACTAAGTACCCAGCCAGTGTCAGTTTATTATGACTCTTTCACAAGTTTCATGTCCTGACTAGAATGTAAGAGCAGACATTTCCTAAAAAACATTCCTGTTCTGTTGAGCAGTCACGTTTCTAGAAAGATTGGGGACAGATGTAAAAGCCATAGTCCTAACTGCATTTTAGTGTCATATGCAGAAGAATGTTATGCATTATACTTGCTGACTCTGCAGTTCAGGACTTTTTTTTTTATTTCTTTTTTTTTACCCCCCATTATTTTTTCAGACAATTGGAACTAAGCCCGTTGCTCATATTGACCAGTTTACTCCTGACATGCTGGGGTCTGCTGAGCTGGCAGAGGAGGTCAACTTGAACGGTTCTGGGAAACTAATAAAGGTGAGCGAGCAACAAAATGTTAATACCTACTTAACATCTGCCAATTATTTTAATAACAACTAACTTCAATGTGTTTTACTACTGAAGTTACTACATTTAAGTACCTACTTCTAATCCCCGAGTAGCCACCAACCTGGGAAGTGTAGTGGTTTTGCTTAGCCAGATATCAGTACTGGTCTAGAACTTGCAGATACCAACTGAAGTCTCTTTTTGTCCAGGATGTTTTTTTTCAGTCTTAGTATTTGGTTTTATGTTTTAGATTACAGGCTGCACAAACCCTGGGAAAACTGTAACCATTGTGGTACGTGGATCCAACAAACTTGTTCTAGAAGAGGCTGAGCGTTCAATTCACGATGCCCTGTGTGTCATAAGATGCTTAGTTAAGAAAAGGTAATGTCTCAGTTTGGTTAGAGTAATTTAGTGTATTAATAATATAGAAAGCTAACCATTTATGCACTTACTTACATAAAATGAGTTTTTATTTTTAATTTCTGTCCTCAGAGCTTTAATTGCAGGAGGTGGAGCACCAGAGATAGAGTTGGCACTGCGCTTGAACGAGTATGCTCGCACTTTGAGGGGTATGGACTCGTATTGCGTCCGTGCGTATGGTGACGCCCTGGAAGTCATACCATCTACACTGGCTGAAAATGCAGGTCTCAATCCTATTTCAACGGTAACAGAGCTGAGAAACAGACACGCTCAAGGGGAGAAAACAGCTGGCATTAATGTCAGAAAGGTAACAAGTGATTGTGTATGCATAGCTTAAAAAAAACCCAAAACTTGGGCATTGAAAGGAAAATGCATAGCATCAGAACTAAACTGAGGAGAGGGCAAGTTTGTCTCATAATGGTATTCTCCGTAAAATTAAGAGTTGAGGTAGATTATACCTTGATCTCTGGGGCTTTAACAGCTTATCCTGAGTATTGATAATAGCAGGTACTTACATGCCATACCCACATAGTATACCCATCAGTATTATCTGCAGTGGAAGGTGCACGTGTGTTACGAGCAGCACAGTGGGCTAGCTTCTTTAAAATTGTCACCATGTTTAAGCTGGCATAACTACCTTTATCTTGGCTAATTTTGACTGGGTATGTCAAGCACTTGGGGGGAGAAGATGCATACTGTAATATTCCTGTTGAGGATGGAAGAGTACAAGTCCTTTGATAGTCAAATTTAGAGTTGACTGTGCTCAGGATTCTTGTAGTCTAACCTACACAAAATAAAAGCTACTTGTTCTCACAGGGTGGCATTTCCAACATCTTGGAGGAATTGGTTGTCCAGCCACTGCTAGTGTCTTTGAGCGCATTGACTCTTGCAACAGAAACTGTGCGCAGTATTCTTAAGATTGATGATGTGGTGAGTAATGTTTGCATCATGTTTTGTTTAATCTTTTTTTCACAAGCACCAGGATAGTTACTGTCATCTAATTTGCTGTGCTTCAAAATACAATTATCGTGTAGTATTCTCAGTTTACATGCTACTTAGACCATTTGGCCGCCTAATAATGGCAATTGGAACAAAATTAAATGTGTTACAAATACTGTACCTTAAAGTAAGGAGTTAAGAAAGTGACTAAAAAACCAGGATCTTTAAGCAGAAGAGAGGTGATTGTTGGGTGTCCTGAGGACTTCCTGTGCCTGATCGTGTGAACTCTTCCTTGCAGGTGAACACCCGGTAAACTGAATGAAGAAAGTGGGGACTGTGCCCTAGAGCTCCTTCCCGGTAGTCTGGAATATGGTTTCCTCACCAAAAGCGCCTGTGTGAATTGTCTTAAAGTCCACAAAGGCTTATGTACTTTTATCGGGTTAATTAAAAAAAAAAAAACAACAAAAAACCAAAAAAAACAAAAAAAACCAACCTGTTTTCAAAAAGGAAATGCTGTTTATCAATAAACATGCAGTAGTCTACCTGAGTCTTTGCTTTATAGTTTTGGTAGAAATAAGGTAAACTTCTTGTTACATTTGCTTTTCTGTGCTACATGCTCCTACTTAGCTCTGAAAAGTTTAACTGCAAGTCATTAGCTCTTGATATATATTCTAAAAACACCCTTTAATTTCCACTCTAGTTAACATGCTAGCTTAGAGCTGCTTCTCTAAATGTTTTCCATAATGGAGTAGTATTATTTCCCTTAACTATGACTGGCTAGGGTGAAGGAATATCTTTGCAGTGATAGTACTTAAGAATCCTGTCTCATGCTCCTTGCTCTGTTTTGCCTCCTGACGTCCGTAGTGATTTCTGATGCCATCACACGATCCAGAGTGTTACAAAGGGCAGTCTGTACGTGCAGCTTTTTGTATTTCATCCAGCAGTGAAGTGCAAGTGTCAAAACTAAACCTAGTTCTAAAAAGGCAAAGATAATATTACTATAACTAGGCTTATTTATAATTAATAAGGGATTTATTTAAAATCAGTTTTGGATAACAGGTGCATCTCTCTGAAGCAGTTTCAGCTGTTCTTTTGGTCGCTTCCATTGTGGTGGTGGTGAACTCCCAGTTTTGTTCAGGAAAACCCCCGCAGTGGAAGTCTTGGACAGCTTAAGTAATGCACAAACACAGACCACACACACACACTCCCACCCCCAATGAGTTGGTTTTCTCAAAACTGGCTGAGAAGTCAAAAAGTATACTATTTTAAAATAATGCATATTACGTTTCTTTAAAACAAGTCACAGGACATTAACATCTACCTACACCTGAAGGAAATGGGTACCCCATGTTTGTGTCACAGCATTGTAGTGCATCAGCTGGACCCACGTTGTTGGGGTGAGCTGTAATGCAGGGGATCTCAGCTACCAGGAAAATCCCGGCTGCCTCAGGATTCATTCAGTGTAGAGTTCATTTGATTTGTTCTTAATGTTACATTTTGTAGTTAGAATAAAACACTTTTCAACTTCTAATTCTTAGCCTGAAATTTTGAATTAACCTGTTCATCTTCATTACTGCTATAGTAAGATGACCAGATTCCTCTTCATATTTAAAGGAGAGTGTTTTTTTCATGACCCTGTAACTTGCATTTCTATTTACTGTTGGTCGGATCTGTAGCTTTTGTGTAAACTCCCACCACTTTGTCGACCAGCTATTGAAATACTTTCCTATGACAGCTGTTTAAGTAGAACATTCAGAATAATTCAAATAGTAAAATAAATTAGACAAACGATTTAGGCGTTAATGTTCTGCATTAATTGTTTCTTGGCTGTTTACAAGTGATGCCTTACCCCAGAGGACTACATCCAGCAATGCTCTCTTTTAGTTAAGGTATTACCTTTGAGTAAAGCTTTCCTTCCCCACCATCACAAACGTTCTAAGTCTTGTCAAGAGAATCTTTCCATCCGTTTCTTTGCATAAAAGGTATTTGTAATTTCACTACAATGAATAGGTCCATCAATCGTTAATGCCTCTCTGCAGAGGTGGAAGAATATTCCTGCTGACCCTGGTTTACCCTTATGCCTTAATTGCTTATCTGAAGTGCAAACTTTAAGACGCGAGAAGATTCTCTGCTAACCTGAGGGGGTAAAAAACCGTGGGCTTGTCAAGGAGAGAGTTAGGAGTTCCGAGTGAAATCCTGCAGAAAGGTACCTAAAGATGGGTGCGGCCAGCACGCGGAGGAGCACAGCAGCGAGCAAGGGTTGCGGACGCGGACGGGTGACGGACTCCAGCCGCCCTCTCCTCCTCCTCCTCCTCTTCCTCCTCCTCCTCCTCGCAGGCGCTCGAGGAGGACGGGGCGGCGCCTGTCCCGCACCCGGAGCGGAGGGTGCCCGCCTGGCAGAAGGCTCGCCTTGGCCGCCGGCCGCTGCCGCCTCTCCAACGGGCTCTGGCGGGCGCAGCAGCCCCTTCCCGGCCCAGGGCCGGCGGAGCCCTGAGCGGAACCGGCCGGGGCCCTCCGCCCCCGCGGCCGGATAAAGCGCTCCTCTTCCGCCCGGCGGAGGCGGAGCGGGAGCCTCCCCCGGCCCTCCCGCCCTCCCTCCGGGGCTTCCCTGCGCGCCGGCGGGGCGGAGCGGCCGCCATGGAGGCGGCTCACCGCGCGGGGCTGCTGGGCGGCCCCTGC